TTGCAAACACTGAGACGTCTTCCCGTGTGGACTGTGGGGAGGCACAGCTGGCTACATGGGGCTCTGGCGCATCATTTTGTCCCCCGAAGAGCCCGTTCTTGTGCAGTCTGCTGCTATCAACAAAAGCAGCTTGAAGTCCCGTTGAGGCAAAATCATCTCTCGCCACTATTCCTGCCCAGATTTCTTCTCAGGAACACGGACCTCTTGAAGGAAGAAAAGGTCAAATCAACGTCTATGTAATTGGACCCACATTTTGGGAGTTTTGCCGTCACTCCAGAGTAAAGACTTGAGAAGCATTAGCCACGGTGCTTGGGATTTGCAAGTGCTCCTTTAGGTCCCAGCATAGGGCAGAACCTTACCCTCAGACTCGAAGGGATGCCAGCACAGTGACGCACTGGGGCGTCTTACATGCAGTTGGTGGAGTTGTGGATTAATGAGATGTCGGGAGTCTGGTGAGAAGGAAAACCAGCTCAGATAATGCTCTATCCTTGGAACTTCCAGAAGCTCCAGCTGCAGGATCCATGGCAGGATCCAGGACCAATCTCCACAGCCACACTGGGTTTACAGCTAACGAGGCTGTAACACCATGGATTATCTCCACCGCAAAATCACTGGTTTTATTTTCATTGTAGAGGGTATTCTGAAGATTAAAAAAAAAAAAAAAATTGAATGCTTGGCAGGTTTTTTTTAAACCCATGTGTTTGTTATTCTAGCACACATCATCTGCCAGCATTGCAACACAACCCACTGAGGAGCAGAAAAAAAGACAGAGAACAGACAGAACAGGAAGGAAGGAAGGGAGGGAGGGAGGGAGGGATAGAGGGAGGGAAGGAAGGGAGGGAGGGAAGGAAGGGAGGGAGGGATAGAGGGAGGGAAGGAGGGAAGGAGGGAAGGGAGGGAGGGAGGGAGGGAGGAAAAGGAAGGAGAGAAAGGAAGGAAGGAAGGAGAATGGAAAAGAGGAAAGAAAAAGAAAGAGAAAGAAAGAAGGAAAGAAGAAAAATGAAAAGGTTCTTACAGTCAGACAAGGAGTCATTGTCCGATTTTGATCCTCCCACTGATGCCTCCATGGCCGGTCCTCACGGGCCTGTGTCCTCCAGTGAAAGATGAGGAGCAACAGAGGGGCCTCAGGAGCTCTCACTTCCTGAACCCTGAGCCGTGGGGTGAGGAGTGGTGTGAAAAGGCCGCTGCCAGCGTTCACCTGTTGACAAGGCTGGGCAGCCTACGGAGAATGGCCGGCATCTTTTGGCCAACTTGGATCTTAAGGCTCACCAGGAAGACCCTCTGCTTTCCAGAAAAAGAGAGGCGTTTTCAAGACCCATGTTCCAAATGTTTGAGGCTCTTATTTTCCTCCAAGTGCGGAACCGACTTTATTTTTTGGTCAGTGAGTAGAGAAATGGAAGCAGAGTTGATGGTAATCGAAAGCACTGATAGACCTCTATGTCTTTGCCTAATCTAGTTATCTATTTGTTTATTTTTGTAACTATTTTTTCCAGCAACACCAAAGATTTTAAATATGTTCAAATCCATGAGTTCATACTGACACTCTGAAGAAAAGGAATGCATTAGTCACAATGGAATGAGGCCGGGGAAGCAGCTGATTCCTCTGGAGACAGAAACCTTTTTCCTGCCTTTCCTCTGCAAACTGTGCCTCAGGGTGACCCAATCTGCCCAGGGAAGTTTCTCTTTATGGATGAGTCTAGCTAACAAATAAAGAAGAGTCGACCTTATGAGAAGATCACCATTTTGCAAGTCCTAGGGATATCATGGTCCTAGACGGTCATCATCAAAGTCCAGTGACATAGTAAAAGAGATGTCTCCAGATGGGAGAATACACCACCACCAAAGGGTTTTGTCACAAAAGTCCACTTTGGATCTGAACAGGTTTTGAGACATAACTATGGGTCAGGAAATTCAGGGAATGAAGGAGCATGAGAAACAACATCGCCGTCTTGTCTCAGAGTCCAACCAGGACCCCCGGGGTCTCTAGCTGGGAGTGCTCTGCCAGCCTGGGGACCTCTCACGACCTCCTCAGGGCCCCGCACAGGTTAGCACACAGGCCACTGTCCCCACACTCTCACCAACTGTGACTGCCAGCCGGCCTCTTATTCCCTCTGAGGAATGTGTCCTCATTCCTCACCCGTGACAAGAAGGACCCTGCCCCCCGAGCTGGGCGAGGAGTGAGTGGTCAGTATTCACCCTTCATGGTGGGGTTCTTGTTTCCTCAGAATAAGTCTCAGCTCTTACAGCGTCTCTCCACAGTCCTCACACATGGTGTCTAGGCACCAGGTCATCCAGGTGGAGGATGCCTCTGGAGGGTGGGCCCCTCACTGCAGCTCAATGCCACCCAGCAGAATACGAGGTGAGCCACAGCTTCAAGCCACAGAGCAGAGGCAACTTCAAATTTTCTTTTCTTTCTTTCTCTTTTCTTTCTTTTTTCTTTTTTCTTTTTTTGAGATGGAGTTTCACTCTTGTTACCCAGGCTGGAGTGCAATGGCGCGATCTTGGCTCACCGCAACCTCTGCCTCCTGGGTTCAAGCAATTCTCCTGCCTCAGCCTCCCGAGTAGCTGGGACTACAGGCGTGCACCACCATGCTCAGCTAATGTTTTGTATTTTAGTGGAGACGGGGTTTCACCATGTTGACCAGGATGGTCTCGATCTCTTGACCTCATGATCCACCCGCCTCAGCCTCCCAAAGCGCTGGGATTACAGGCGTAAGCCAGTCTCTTTTCTTTCTTTTTTTCTTTTTCTTTCTTTTTTTTTTTTTAGAGACAGAGTCTCACTCTGTGGCCCAGGCTGCAGTGCAGTGGCATGATCTCAGCTCACTGCAACCTCTTCCTCCCGGATTCAAGGATTCTCTTGCCTCAGCCTCCTAAATAGCTGGGATTACAGGTGCACACCATCACGCCTGGTTAATTTTTGTATTTTTAGTAGAGATGGGGATTTCACCATGTTAACCAGGGTGGTCTTGAATTCCTGACCTCAGGTGATCTGCCCACCTCAGCCTCTCAAAGTACTGGAATTACAAACATGAGCCACTACACCTGGCTGATTTTAAATTTTCTAGTAGTCGGTTTTGAAAAATAAATAGAAGCACGTGAAAAAAATTAGTAACATTCTATCCAATCCACCATGTTCTAAATATTTGGGTTTTTTTTTTTTTTTTTTTGCTTTTGTTTTTGCTTTTTGAGATGGAGTTTCGCTCTTGTTGCCCAGGCTGGAGAGCAATGGCATGACGATCCCGGCTCACCACAACCTCTGCCTCCTGGGTTCAAGCAATTCTCCTGCCTCAGCCTCCCGAGTAGCTGGGATTACAGGCATGCGCCACCCCACCTGGTTAATTTTGTGTTTTTAGTAGAGACAGGGTTTCTCTATGTTGGTCAGGCTGGTCTTGAACTCCCAACCTCAGGTGATCAGCCTGCCTCAGCCTCCCAAAGTGCTGGGATTACAGGTGTGAGCCACTGTGCCCAGCTGTTCTAAATATTTCAATGTGAAATCAATTATTATCACAAGTCTTGGCAATCCCGTATATATTTTATTTCAGAGCACATCTCAATTCCGACTGGCTCTTTCCAGTGCTCCGTAGCCATGCGTGGCTTGTGGCCATTATGTAGGACATCTCAGCTCCCAGTTGCAGGCCCCACTGCATGGACCCTAGGGAGGAGGGGTGTTCTCTTGGGGAAGATTGGGGCTCATTGTTTCCATCTTATCTGAACCTGAAAAAGAGCCTATTTGTCTAGTGAAGGGCCCACGGCCTGGAGAGCCACTGACGGGCAGCTGGCTGGGTTGGGGCTGGTCATTGGCACTAACCACAGAGCCTCCACACCTCCCAGCCGTGGCAGAGCTGGCCATCAGCTCACTTCCTCATGTGGCCTTTCCCCACTGCTCCAAGACTGATTTCAGATGTCCTGGATTGCTCTGACTGTGCCATCAGAATTTTGGCCACTTTGCACCATCCCTCAGCTCCCGGAAGGGCTCCCGCTGAAGCTGAGACTCTCAGGTTTCAAGAGCCAACACCAGTTCAAGAAAGAAGACCCAGGAGCGAGGCCAGGGCTGCCGCTGTGGACCCTGTGTGCACTCCAGCAAAGCATGTGGGAGCTGCCCATCCAACTCTCTGCATGCCCACTCTGTGGGGACAGATCCCAAGAGAAGCTAATGAAAGCAAAGACAGACCCAGAAGATGGCCTGGCACATGTGCTTCCATCAGAAGTTCAGAGACTCCCTGAGCCCTGGGTGTCTGCCAGGCATGGGGTGGGGGAGTGAGCCCAGCCTCCAGCGTCTGGACTCTACATATGGGCCAAACATGACAACCTGGGCACTCCTACTCCACCCCAGTTGGTCTCTGGGCAAGCCACCCTCTCGCATGGCTCAGAATCCTCCTCTGTAAGATGGGAACACCCCTCATTGCCCTTGGGTCCAGCCTGTCTGCTCCTGTGCGAAGGGGGAAGTGGCGGATGTCCAAGAGCCTCACAGATGCTGGGGAAGACCCAGACCCTCTGCAGAGAGGGATAGTTCAGGGTTTGGGTTTTTTCTTTCCTACTGGGCTGAGAACACTCATGGGAAGCTGGAATAGCCATGCATACTATTTCAACAAATACAACAATGCTCCCACCACTGTGGTTTTCAGGTGACTGTGGATACCAGGCAGGCACGCTGCTGGTGAAGTGGGGAGAGCGGGGATCAGAAGCACCCAGAAGGGGCTGAGAGTCATGTGGGGCTCACACTGCATTTGCAGCTGGGTTCATCCTGACCTCAGGCCCAACCTCAGATGAATTGAAGAAGGATTAGCAGTAATTAATGCCATGTGCCCCCCTTCTCCTGGCTCCCCGGGGCGAGATCACTGCCGTGCTGATGAGGGGCTTCTGAAAGAACGATTATGTCCAATTGTCTCAATTATGCAAACCCTGCTGACATTTCCAGCTGAGGAAGGGCTGGCTGGCGGGGAGGGGGACATGGCCGGGCCACTTCAAAGGAAGAGCTCTAGCTCCCCCACCTCTCTCAGATCCCAAAGCTGCCTTTGTGGGATTCCATACAGCACAGCCTGGAAGCGTGGGCCCTGCTTCCTTTTCTGGCCTGGAAGGCAGGTCACGGGGCTATCACCTCACGGGGATCATGAGGGCCCAGGCCCAAGTGCTCACATGCTCCTCATGGGGACTGCTCCTCTTAAAGGGTGGGCCCTCCTCTCCCAGCTCCCTGCCCTGGCCAACCAGGAGGCTGGAGGATCCTGGGTCGGGCCCTCTCTGTTCCACTGCTGCAGCAGGTAAGCTCAGATTCGGGTAAGCACAGGTGCAAGTGAGCTCAGGTGCAGGTATCCTCAGGAGCGGGTAAGCTCAGGTACGGGTAAACTCAAGCATGGGCAAACGCAGGTAGGCTCAGGTGCTGGTAGGCTCTGGTTCAAGTAAGGTCAGGTGCAGACAAGCTCAGGTGTGCTTTCTGGGCCCTGTTGCTTCCCTGCTCCTCAGGCTGCTGGACAGGACTGTATGTGAGCAGCTGGTGAACCCGTGCTCAGCCTGGGTTCCAAGAGGCTCTCTCAGCAGAAGGGACCCAGCAGGTGGATTCACAGAGGGGACAAGCACTCTGTCAGCCGGTCACAGAGAGGCTGAAACCCTCTGAGCCTCCCCGAGGGCCAGCTTCTAAGTACAGGTGCCAGGGATCTGCTCAGGAGCCCCAGCTCCTGGGCTCCGCCTCTTGCCTGTCATTCCTTAGCGTCTCACTTTGCTTCGGGGAAAAGGTGCACCTTCCTTAGAACCCCGGAAAATGCTGAGGTTCTAGGAGAGACACGGCTTATACTCGTAAGCCTTTATCAGCTGCTATTTTACCTGTGAAGGCCTTGGGGAAGAGACGGAACAGCCATGTGTTCCATGGTTACACGGAACAGCATCAGGAGGGGAGATTATGACTCCCTCTCATGCTGGGAGGAGTGCCAATTGGTTTCTGGAAGGCAGTTCAGCAACATGTGGCAGCATGGATGCACAAAGATCAGATGCCAGGTAGGAACCCCTCTTCAGGAGAGAATCCTGAAGGGATGCCAACAGTTACACAGCATCTCCTGCTACCGGGAAGCATAGTTAACAATCCAAATGCCCAGAAGCGAGGGCTGGACACATAAATCATGATCTGTCCATGGGATGAAACATCATGCAGGCACTTTTTAAAATACAGAGAAAAAGGTGTAATAACCATGCAGAATTATCATGTTTTTCATTACACACACATGTCTAATTTATTCATGGAAAAAGCCTAGAAATACACTGAAATGTCAGTCGTTTTAGGATGGAGGCCTTATGGGTGGTGTTTATTTATTCCTTTGTACATTTCTATATTTTTCTGCTTCTTTAATCATTTTCTTTTTTTTTTTTTTTTTTTTTTTGAGACAGAGTTTCACTCTTGTTACCCAGGCTGGAGTGCAATGGCGCAACTCGGCTCACCGTAACCTCCGCCTCCTGGGTTCAGGCAATTCTCCTGTCTCAGCCTCCTGAGTAGCTGGGATTACAGGCACACGCCACCATGCCCAGCTAATTTTTTGTATTTTTAGTAGAGACAGGGTTTCACCATGTTGACCAGGATGGTCTCGATCTCTTGACCTCATGATCCACCCGCCTCGGCCTCCCAAAGTGCTGGGATTATAGGCGTGAGCCACACGCACCCAGCCTCTCTAATAATTTTCTATCACAAATTCATTTTCCTTTTATCCCAGAAAATATCTTTCACACTTTTAATTTTTACATCATAGTTGTACATATTTTGGGGTACATGTGATTATTTTGGTGCATGTGTACGATGTGTGTTTTTTAAAACCATAGCAAAAGTTAGCAAGAGTAATAGGGGAGGAAGGGGGCAAAGCCAATATTTGCAGGGCCAGGAGTGGTGGCTCACGCCTGTAATCCCAGCACTTTTGGAGGCCAAGGCAGGCAGATCATGAGGTCAAGAGATAGAGACCATCCTGGCCAACATGGTGAAACCGTCTCTACTAAAAATACAAAAATTACCTGGGCGTGGTAGTGCACGCCTGTAGTTACAGCTACTCAGGAAGCTGAGGCAGGAGAATCGCTTGAACCTGCGACGCAGAGGTTGCAGTGAGCCAAGATTGCACCACTGTACTCCAGGTTGGCGACAGAGCAAGACTCCATCTCAAAAAAAAAAATATTTGCAGGAATTGTGTTTGGGTTGACAAGGGATAGGAACTGAGAACGGAGAAGGAAGATGAGACACATTTTCTCTGTCAGAATCCGACATTTAGGGAGGAATTAAGAACGGAGCCCTGCGTCTCTCTGAGTGTGCTTGATGAATACAGGTTTGATTTTGGGAAAGGCTGTCTTTGGTAATGTTCTCCAAACACCATTGTTTTGAACTGTCCAGCAGCAGTTTTAATTCACGGCATTTGCAATTATGTTTATACCATAAGTTGGCTATTCTCTGCAGTGTATTTTTTTAGGCCCCAGAAAATGTAATTGGAAATATCAACTCATGTTGGATGTGTTCGCTGTAACTGTCTCTGCTTTATTGCATATTTTCTGGGAGAAGTTGGGAGTTGAGTTTGGTCTGGTTCTGTGCAACCTCATTTATTTGCTTTGTAAAGCTGACAAGCCCAAGAAGTGAAACGACACTCAGGCATTTTAAGATGCGGGTCATCTTCATTCTGAACTAAGTGAAAACAAAACAGATTTTCTATCAACCTAAAATCCTCTTATTGGGGCAGCAGATGTTTTTAGAAAATTGGCTTTGGTTGACAATGTTTGGAAGATGTCCTACAATTTGTGTGTGTGGTATGTGCGTAAAGGCTGGGCCTGGGAAAACGGAAGCCCTCAGCCAGGGGAATAAGAGGGCCTAATAGCCCCAAGCCTTCCAGGACCTAGAGGTTAAGGGGATTCAACGTCTTAAAACTTCCATTAAACAGACAGTAGCCAGAGACATGTGGCCTTCAGTGATATGCAAAGGCATCCGATGGGTCAGTACCTGCCGCCATTCTCCTCTTTCGCAAGCTCTGAGATTAGACTTAGCAACGGGTGAAGGAATTACAGCAACCGTTGAGAGCAGGCAGGGTCCAGGAAACAGGTTGGTCCATTACCCCACATGCCCATCATGCCAGGAGCAATTTTCCCAGCCTCTTGTAGAAAGCACCTGTTAGTATCCATCTCACTGCTTTTCAGAAACTCTATCTTCAATTGCCAAGTGGGGAAAAATGCATTTACAACGCTAGAGATGCCTTTAAGAAAACAAGTTAACATTAGGCCACAGCACCTCCCTCCACAGCTGCCGAGGCCTTGTTGCTGAGCACCTGGTCCTCTGCCTCACCGCTTCCGGCTTCCGGCTTCCGGCTTCCGGCTTCCTCCCCCCCCACCCACTGCAGTCTATCCCGGCCATGAAAGTGACAAGCGCAGGTAGCCTCCTCCTCCAACACAGCTTATCCAGCTTGTGTCCGCTCTCCCAGGGTGAGTAGTGCCTTGAAATGCCTTAAGGTAGAGGTAATGCTCATGGCAGGTGGCCTTGGGTCTCCTGGAGACAGGGCACAAGAGCAGGCAAATTCTGCAGACTTGGTGAGGTGGAAAGCTTGCTGCTCGGGAATCACGGCCACAGTGCCCTTTTTTGTTTGTTAATCGTTAAAAAGCATACTACATGAATATATAAAGTTGTAAAGCTCCGTAGAAGAGCTGAGTGAAGTCCTGCTTACACACGCCTCTTAATTCCCACTCTACTGTGCTGCAGACCATGCTTAGTGTTTAATGTTGCTTTTTTTTTTTTTTTTTTTTGAGGCACAGTCTTAACTCTTGCCCAGGCTGGAGTGCAATGGCGTGATCTCAGCTCACTGCAATCTTCATCTCCCAGGTTCAAATGATTTTCCTGCGGAGTAGCTGGGATTACAGGCGCCTACCACGGCGCCCAGGTTTTTGTATTTTTCGTAGAGACGAGGCTCCGCCTTGTTGACCAGGCTGGTTTCAAACTCCTAATCTCAGGTGATTCGTCTGCCTCAGCCTCCCAAAATGCTAGGATTACAGGCATGAGCCACCGCGACTAGCCTGATGTGTATTGTTTTGGACCTCTGCTGCCTAATAGAAATAGCACATGCACCACAGAAATTATTTCAAACTGTGTAGTAACCACTTTAAAAAAGTAAAAACAAATAAGTGAAATTAACTTTAATTCTATAATTCATTTAACTCAACATATCTAAAATATTGTTTCAACATGTAGTCAATACCAAAAACGTTCTGATGAGGTTTTTCCATTTGTTTTTTTGTTTTTTGGGTGTTTTGTTTTTTTTGACACGGAGTCTCACTCTATTGCCAGGCTGGAGCGCAGTGGCACAATCTCAGCTCACTGTAACCTCTGCCTTCCAGTTTCAAGCGATTCTCCTGCCTCAGCCTCCCAAGTAGCTGGCATTACAGGTGCCTGTCACCACATCCGGCTAATTTTTGTATTTTTAGTAGAGATAGGATTTCACCTTATTGGCTGGTTTCAAATTCCTAATCTCGTGATCCTCCTGCCTTGGCCTCCCAAAGTACTAGGATGGCAGGTGTGAACTACCGCACCCAGCCCCTGATGAGGTATTTTTTCTCTTTTTTTTTTTTGTTTTGTCTTTGAAATCCTGCCACACACCTCATTTTCAGCTCCCATGTCAGAGTGAACACTAGCGTGGCATCTCACAGCATGTCTCAGTTCACCCTGGCCACATCTCAGGTGTGCAGCAACCCCAGGTAGCCAGGGTATACTACACGGGCAGCTCCGCTCCTGAACATTGGGAAGTTTGTTCTTGTAGAGCTGGATCACACTGGAAAGATTGTTCTACAATTTTTTACTCAGTCCATAATGGAGATGGTTATACTTTAGAGTTACATGCTTGTCTTCTTCATGGTTGCATAGTCCATGATTTGGTACATCATTAATTGGTTTAATCCAGTCCCCAAGGTAGACTAACAAAAAAGTGGAGGTTTCCAATTTTTCACTTAGTTTAAAATGCGCTGCAACAAACATCCATATATTGCCTGTTTACAGGCAAAAGTATTTCCAGATGATAGGTCTGTAGAAATGGAAGTGCTGGGTCAAAGACAGGTGTGCACACTTTGCTCTGAGAGGCAGGTTGAGTTCTCAGCCAAGCTGGCCACCAGCTGGCCTCGGGGTTTGGACCTTGTTTCCTTAGAGGTGAAAGCAAAGAGTTGGGCTGGATACCCTCCATAGTTTCTTGGCTGGGTGGGTGACAGGTACCTGCTCCCACTGCAGCACAGGCCTGGATCAGGCAGGCAAACTGACCACACATGCCTT